TCTGCAGAGGCACCTTGCCCAGCCAGATCCACCCCTCTGCCAGCCTGGTTTTTGATGGGGTTTCTACCAGGTCATGTTTCTCAACACGTCCTCTCTGCCCCCTTTCCACCCTCTGCTATAGACGCTGTTGCGGCACACCCACCTCTGAATACTTTTTTGTTGCTTCCCCTCCACCTGCTCCTGCAGCCAGAGCTGCTTTTGGGGATGGCAGAGAGAAGCTTTCCACCCCAACCACAGAAGACACTAAACCTGAGGCTTGATGGCATTTCCCCGAAGTTGCAGCTTCCTCTAAAACAAGCTAGCAAAAGGAAGAGAAATTCTCCCGCCAACGTGCTGGGCAGTGAGGAAGCTAACGGGCAGAGGCACCAAAATCGTCCCCACCACCAAGGGGAGTAGCCCGTGACTCACTTCCACCATGGCCGCAAAGACGTGACTCAGGTCTCCAGCAAACCCTCAGCTTTGGAGAGGAGCAAGCTGGCAGAGACCACAACGGAGCCAACCGCCCCGGCGCAGCCCAGCACAGCCCATCTCCTCCGCTGGCAGCCCCAGGAGGAAAGAGCAAGCTCCATGGGCACAATTGTGGCAGCAGTCAAAGCAAATCGGGGAATCCTAGTAGCGTAGAATGTTTTGAGGTGGAAGGGAACTTCAAAGTTGAACAACTTCAACTAGATCAGGTTGCCCAGAGCCCCGTCCAACCCAATTTTAAATGTTTCCAAGGATGGAGCTCATCATTCCGAGGATGGAGCTCATCCAAAGGGTCTGCTACAGCGCCCAGCCTCCGAGTGCTACCCCAAAAAGGTGCATCATGGTCAGAGCTCTGCCCAGAAGATCATTTTTTCCAAAGCTAAATCCCAGGGCTGGCTCAGGGAGCTGTTTAAGTAAAGTTGCAATTTCCTTTGCACCTTCAGAAAAAAAGAAAAAAAAATTGACTCAGTGATAGCTTCCATGTTTTGAATTAAAACAGCCGGTGGGATAAATTATGAGCACAGAATAATCCTGCCTTCACACAGAGGATCAAGGGGTGAGAGGAACAAGATAATCCCAGATACCTGTGCCCCTCTGTGAGTTCTGGGGTAGGAGCGCAAAGGAAGGATTTTAATTAACTTCTCCGTAAGTGTAGTTAACATATGTATTAAAACTGTTTCAAAACAAGAAAAGTATCCTCAAAAGCCTTGTTTCAGCCGAGGGATTAATTCCTAATTTTAATTGTGGGATTATTCAAATGTAGAAAGAGTCTGTGACATATTAAAGGCATTGCTAGCTGGCTTTCGGAGCATTACCACAGGGAGACGTAGAATCCAATTATCTCTGAAGAAATATGTTAAATATGCTCATTAACATGTAAAAAAGTGGAAACATGTATTAGAGAAAAGCTGATGTATTACACTGCTTAATGTCACAATGAATTAGCAATAAAGAAGGTTGCAACAGAAACAGCTTGCTGAAATGCCATGGCAGCATAGGAAAATAAAGCATTTTATTCCAATTAGCTTAATTCCTGATAATGACATAGATGGAGTGATAAAACTCTGTATAATGGGGATCCAGCCCTGGGAAAGTTTAGGAATCGTGTGGGAACGAGGCAAGAAAAGGGAGGCGAGCCTGCACCTCGGTGCAAACCGCCCTCAGCTCTCAGCAGGCAAGAGAAAGGAGGAAACAATAGGATGAAAAGGCAAAAAGGAGGCGCGTTTGGAAGGCGATAAGTACGGACGAAATCTCGGGGTCCCACAGCTGCAGAGAGCGCAGGCACTAGCCAGGCGTTTGCTTTTCCCTCTAAAGCCAGCCCCGTCCCTTCGAGACCTCCTGCTCTCCAGAACCCATCTCAAAATGCTTTCTCACACCAAACCTTGAGCACGCCGCTTTCCCTCCTTCGCCAGCGCCAACCGACACTTCTGCCCTTCCCTGCTGAGCAGGAACCATCGGAGTTCGCGCAGGGATAAACAGTAATTTCCTGCTTTATTTTGTGTTGAGAAACCTGACCGCTCTGACCTAACTGCCACCCGCTTGAGTCCCAGATCCTAAATACCCCCAAGTCCTAACAGCCACCACCAGCTCAACGCCAGTCCCTGCTCATTGCAGCCGCCCAACTTCTGCCGATGCTTTTTCCGTGCCCCCTTCCCTCCCAGCGCCTCCCTTCATCCGTTTCTCCCCACTAACCGAGAGGCTGAGCAATTCCCCAGATCCACCAGGTCTGAGGAGACATCAGTTTTCTAGTTATATTTGAAAAGACGAGAATTTTGGGTGAGGTTGATTTACCTGAAGTCTTAAACATTAAAATACAGCAGGAGAGATTTAAGCGTGACCTAAGTTGCAGATCTTCAGCAATCACCATGATGGCAATGACAGCTCCTAAATTATTTTAAAGCTCTTATGTAACCATAGACACTTAGATTTTTTACATCTTTCTTTTTTTTTTTCTGCGCTACTGACAGGATTTCTGTCCTGAAAAAGGCCCAGGGGTGCCACAAGCCAGGTGTCACCTCCAGCTTCACGCAGCTCTGGTGCACATCGCTCCTCCGAACTCATTCCAGCTGTGCAGCCCACAACTGCCCCTTGTATGAACACAGAGCAGCACATCTAGAATGTCTTTTTGCTCAGGAAACAGGAGAAAAAAGGTGAACTGGACAGACATGGATAAAACTAGGTGATCAAACTGCTTAAAGGAAGCAGCCAGAGAGTATTTTGAACAGAGCTTTGAGCAACTTGGTCTGGTGGGAGGTGTCCCTGCCCATGGCAGGGGGTTTGGAACACGACAATCGTTAAGGTCCCTTCCAACCAAACCCGTCCTCCCGTTTCACCAGCAGCCTGAGCTTGAATTCACACACTCTGCCTGCCCAGAGAAGCTGGTTTGCCCAGTGCCCCAACGTGTTTTCTCAGAAAACAGAGCTCCTTCAGCAAACACACCTCGGGGTGAGGTTTGCCAAGTCGAAGTGCCGCGGGCTCGCCCCCACCTCCCTCACACCACGCTCCTCACCTCCACAGTGAATCCACCTTGGAAAGCCATTCCCCATTCAGCACGGATCTCAACCACTCTTAATGCAAATTCCTGAAGTATTTATTCTCCGAAGCGTGATGGCGTCCCAGGGGAAGGTGCTACCTGTCCCACCTCAAAATTCAGGCTGTGGTGCTAGTGGTGCCTTCCTAGCACCAGCATGGCTTGAAAGTCTTGGGGTGCCTGGTTAGACATGGGGCACAGCCTTAGAAGCTACTGGTTCCTTTTGGTATTGGGCAAAAAACCAGAGAAATCGGAGCTCAAGAATTATTTTAGCCAAAGGATCCACCAGCAAATGGTATTAAGGAATTTGGTTCTGCCAGAAGAGAAGGTCTGGGGGCAGAAAGGACACAAATGCTGCTTTTCCTTCGCAGAGGAGCTCTCAGAAAGACCAGCTTCTCTCCAGACCCTTTCAGAGAGCAACCCCTCCCAGCCCCAAACCTCTCCAAGCCCCTCCAGCATCATTGCAAACAGCTGTGAGCTTGTGCAAAGCCTCCCCCGCCCCGTTTCACAGCTCTGAAGGCAGCACCAGCGGAGTTTGGTGTGATCTCGTTAGCACAAGTCACAGAAGCACCTGCCCTCCACTCCCTGGGCTCAATATAATTTATCAGGAGCACCGCTAAAAGCGATGGGTTTCTCTATTCAGTAAAGACTTTTTCAAGTATCTTCTGATCCCCTAACATTTTCCGCTTCACAGAAGCAAGAAATCCCGTGCAACATAAACCCGTTCTTGTCTACAGCAGGCTAAGAGAGGGGAAACCGCCCCGCTCCGGGTCTGGGTTCTTTGATGAGAAACAGCTTCTGCAAGAAGGAGCTGCCTCTCCAAGGTGCCCCGGTAATTGCCCAAATCCACCCTCACTGCAGCTGAAGGAGGAGGAGGTTAGTCTTAGAGGAAAGGGCTGTAGCAAAGACCTGTGCTGGACACAGCACAAGGAGTTTTAAGTCCGTTCCTTGCCCCGTGCCTCAGTTTCCCTTTCGGATAAACTGCAGCCCACGGTCCCCAGCCGCTCGCTGGCTTTAAGGCACGCCTTGTCACCCCTCTGTCCTTCTCCAAGAGCCACTTGGTGGCACTGTTTGAAAAGATTTCCTTGCTCGCTGCTGACTTCCAGGTCGGGATCCAGAAGAGGGAGTTTCTGGAAGGAATCACATTCATCCTGCCATCGCAATATCCTCATTTTTTTATGTTTTCTTTTCTCTTTCTTCACTGCTCAAGCGCTCCCGGGCGGTCTCCTGCCCTGCCCATCAGTCACTGAGGAACTTCTCGCAAAACACGTTTGCGAAGAGTCCCGGGCGTTGCTTGGGCATCACCTTGAACTAAATCCTCCGGTGGTAAAAATAGCCCTTTTTACTAAATTCCTCTGAAATGTGGCTGCAGGTTGGGCAAGCTTAGGGAAGGCTCAGGCATTAACTCCTAAGAAAATCACCAGAGCTGAAGTTAATTAGAAAGAGACAAACGAAGACAGGGGCATGACAATGTAATTGAGCGGCTGATGGTTCGGGTCGCTCTGCTGAAGGAGTGTCTCCTCAAGAAGATGCAGGCTGTGATTCTGGACTCTATATAAGATGGACAAGAGCTGATCTGCTCCAGCCCACGCTCTTGAAGCTCAGAGCTCCCGTTCCTCACCCAGGTAAGCCTGGACAGACCTTTTCGCCTGTCTGACTTTGCGACTGGCAGGGAGGCAGGAGCTTCTGGGCCTTCGGATTTCCCTGGAGCTGCCACTGCCGAGCTCTTCTAGAGAAAATAACAATAATGAGAGACCTGGAACTACTCTATTCCATGGTTCTTTAGAGATAACCTCCAGATTTGGTTTTTTCCTTGCTCTCCCCCTTCCCTTACACTATTTCATGTATCTGTGCTCCTCTCCGGCTCTTCTTTCCCTCTCTGCCTCTCCAGCCCTGTTGTCAAAGACTGACTTGTCTGAAAAGCAAGCGAGCAAACACACCAGAACAAAAAAAAGTCCCCTTTCATCTGTGTTTTTCTTGCAGGCTGCCTCAGTTTTGCAGGGAGATGGCCCAGTTCCAGGACAACATCCATGGCATCGTTGCTGCTTTCTACGTGTGCGCCAGAAGCGACGGCAGCTGCAGCCCCCTGAGCAGGGAGGAGCTGAGGCAGCTCATTGAGCAGGAGTTCGAGGAGGCGATGGAGGTGAGGGTCCGGCCATGGGTGTGCAGGGCTGGGGTGGGGAGTGTGGAGGGGAGGGTAAAGCCCTGCCCTCCCATGCGGGTGTACAGGACATCTGGCTCCCTGGGAAAGGCACAGAAATGCCTTCAAAGCCCAGGATCTGCAGGGAAGAGGAGAGGCTTTTTGTTCTGCAGCAGCTTGTAGAGCAACATAGGGAATGGCAGGAGTCATGGGGGTGATGGATTTCTGCCCTGAGACACGAATGACTCATGGACTTTGCCAACACTGTTTGCCTCTTTCCAGAACCCCCAGGACCCCAAAACCATCAAGAAGGTGCGGTGCTTCCTGGATGATGACAGCGATTGCTGGGTTGACTTCAGCGAGTTGCTCAGCCTGGTTTTCCGGGTGGCCAAGGCTTGTTCCAAGCCACTCCAGCAGCTCCAGGAGCCAGAAGATGGTCAAGAGCCAACAGCACAAGAGAAGGCAAGCGAAGAGCAGTTGCCAGAGCCACACATTGTGGGCAGAGGCTCCCACAACCAGCAGGTCCCCATGCAGGGTGTGAACAATCAGGTCCAGGACTCCGAAACACAGGACCCAGACAACCAGGGGTGTGGAACATCAAAGCAGGACCCAGACACCCATGAAACCTACATGGGTGAGACACCAGAGCAGGACCAAGACACTCATCAAACCCAGGAGGGTGAGACGTCAAAGAAAGACCACGACACCCATGAAACCCAAGAAGAAGAGACAGCAGAGCAGGACCCAGATAACCGTCAGCCTCAGGAGGGTGAGACAAAGGAAGAGAACACCCATGAAACCCGGGAGGATGAGGCACCGCAGCAGGACCAGGACACCCATCAGGATGAAGGCGCTGAAGAACCAGAAGAGGATGCAGAGACAGATGAGATCCTGGACGCTGCAAGCCAAGAGCAGGACAGAAACACCCATCGGGCTGAAGAGATTGAAACACCAAAACAGGACATGAAAACCCACCAGGCCCAAGAAACTGAGGCACCAGGACAGGGTTCAAACCACTTTCAGAGCCCAGAGTTTGAGTCAGCAGAGCAGGACCTGAATTGTTCCTCTGAGACACAAGGAAGAGACCCAGACAAGACAACCCAGGTCTGTGAGGCCGCTTGGCAGGACCTCGCCGAGACCCAGAAGCTGCTGCCCCCACAGCAGGGTGCAAGCCCCTGTCGGGATCTCAAGCCCCAGGGAATGCGCCACGAGCTGCCTTTCCATCGTCTCGCTGAATCCGAGGAGCTGGAGCAGGAGCTCAGCGGGGCCGAGGCTCCAGCTCACCCAGCACAACAGCAACAAGCCCTTTGGCCCCAAAGCCAACCCGCTGCAGAGCAGCAGCTCCTGCAGGCTCTCTCTCAGTGGCCACCACAGCAGTGAAGGCTGAAACAAGCCCCCCGCGAGGCTGTTGCCCCTCGCCAGGAGGTCCCACTCTGGTTTTTGCATTTCTCTTTGTCACATCTTGTCCAATTCCTTACTGACCCTGAGCTTCACACCCCCGGTTTGTACGGAGCTACGCATGGCTAGAGACCTTCTCCTTCTTTGTCCCTCTTAGGCTCCCTCTGACTGTGTAAGCAAAGCAATAATAAAATCCAAGGCTTTTGACTTGTTTTTGAACACAGTGTCCCAGCGTGTTGCCCTCTGCTCAGCTCTGAGCGAGCAGCCAGGTTGACGTGACGCAGAGCAGAAGAGCCGATGGCTCCGGGGTGGCTGCAGAGGGGCAGGCGTGCCTCGGGGGGTGCATAGCCTGAAGGAGCTGGCTTTCGGCCGCTTTCACGATTCAGCCCAAATGAAGCAGTCCCTCCCTGCAGGCAGGGCTGTGACATCCCAGCAAGTGGTATCTTCAGAAGGGGTAGAAGTCGGGATTAACGCAACGGCACAACCGACCCGAACAGATCCCTCGCAGCATCCATCTGCTCCGGGCGTTTTTCACGTCTGTCATGAAAAGAATAAACAGCTCCTTAATGCTGATGGGAGGGATTTGTTCTATTTAACCTCACTTACTAATAATCTCAGAAGCCGAGGGAATGTGGAGCACGCTACGAAGATCAAAAAAAATCCTTATTAGCTATGGAAGTCTCCAAAGGAAGGAGTAGAGATTTATTAAAGAGGGGAAAAATGATGATTTGGGTATATCCAGCCCCAGCAACGACTGGGAGGCCAGAGATAAAAAGCTGCCATGCAAACCGTGCCCAGCCTCAAACTCAGATTCAGGGTGCCAGCTCCTCGGGTGCTTTGTCCAGACATGCACGTAGGGATGTGGGTAACTCCGAGGGCATGAGCAGTCCAGTGAAGTCGGTGGCGTTTCATTAGGGGGTTCAGACGTGCTGGACCACCAGACGGGTCCGGGTCTCGGCATCCCGCAGAGAGGGTGATGCTCAGCCTGTTTTTCCCCCCGTGCTATCTTTCGCTTTGCAACCTATCAGCAAAATCAGCGCAGGATAAATGCACCCGCACCTCCTGCTCTGTGGCCGGTGACAAGCAGCACGCAGAGACCTCGCTGGAAAATAAAACGTCATTCCTCTGGGACACCCCAGAATTTCACAATTCGCTCGGCACTGAATCAGAAAAGCCAGTGTTTCAAAACTGTCTCTGGAACATTCAGCACAAAATAAAATATAAATGGTTGGGTTTATAAAGCTCTAATGTTGAAATTAAATGTATTAGGCACAAAGTGCACCGGTCTGCTCTGCTACCAATAAAACAAATTAGCAATAACGAGCTCTGACCCACCTCGTGACAGCTGTGGACACGCAATGGGACTTAAATTTCATCCCCTGTCTGTCAAGACCCCGTTCCATCTGAGACATTCCAGAAAACATTTCATTTTTGGAGAGAATTCCATGTTTCTTGTAGAATAGGTCTCAGGTAGAGGCTTGGTCCGACAGCTTTTTGCTTCTTATTAGGTCTGGGTCTAAAATGTCAAGACCTGACAATCCCGTTTTAAGTCTGTCTCTCCATCAGTTGTCACTTTTTGCAACAAAAAAAACTGTCCTCCCAGTTCAGGCAGGCACCAAGCCCTGTTGGGGATGTGGTAATTATATGATCTATTCTGAATAACGCTATTTTTGCCACCGGGAGTGTCGTATTTGAAGTTAAGAGGGATTTTTTTATTGTTTTTTTCGCTTCGTTTTAAGGAGAACGTGTAAATTAGCCCAAATAACAAAGAGTCCTGCAGGCCTGCGAAGGGTTGGAAGAGAAAAGGTTTTTGTTACAACAGACAAAGAGCCCAGTTCCTCCAAAATTAAATGCAACAGAGGTTTGGTCACTTTATATAAAATAGGGATGGGACTAGATTTGGGTAAGAATCAGGAGGATGGAGCCCATCCTCTTGGGTAACAGCTGTTAAAAACCTAAAAGTCTCATCTTATGGAAGCATTTTGGGGGGAAATAAAGCTGTCGGGAAAAGGAGGGGGTCAGTGCTGCCAAGAACGTGCTTTGAAGCTCATGGCTTTGCCCGGGGAACGGCAGCAAACACGGCGAACCGGGAGAACAAACGCGACGTACTTTTCCTTGCCTCGACGCCCGACCTCCGGCCGGTGGCTCCCGGCCATCCCGCACTGCCCCATCCCCTGCGGGAGGGATTACGGAGCCGCGCTGTAATACTCTAATTTTAATAATAACTCCGATCTACCATAAAATTACAGTTTCCCAAGGGTATCATTATCCCGCAGGTGGGGTATAATTTGCGCAAGTCTAATTTAATCTCGGAAAAAAAGCTCAAAAAATGAAGCCCGGTTAGGAAGAATCCTTCAGACGCGCTTGTATGAGCATCCCCAAGGTGTTACCAGCCCTAATTAATTGGGCTCCTACACCCAGGGTGATGTGACCTTACGGATGAGCCACTCACCCAAGGCTGTGTGACAAGTTCATGCTCGGAGGCTCTCTGCCATATCCCCGGCACGCTCGGCGAGGAGGTATCCTACCTCCAAAACCAAAAGCAGGGGCCCAGGTGGCACGGCTGGTATTCTTCCTTATTCACTCTGCGTACTGGGAGAGTTGGGGGCGAATAAAGGAATCGGTTGGTCTCTAATTAATTTACTGGTGAAAGATTAAAAAAAAAAATAAAGGTAATTACGGCAGAAAGCTGCCTAGGGCAACCAGATGAAGATTCGACATGAATCGATCTCTCAGCGGGCGGGTTCCTGCTTTTATTTGTAATTAAAGATCAAGCAATGTTGGAGTGAAAGTCATTCATAGAAGACAGTCGATAGGAAAGATGCTTCGTTGAGATTTTCCCCAGTGCGTCTTGAACGGGCATTTTCTTGTGGAAAATTACACTTTGCAACTTTCACCATTTCAAAACGTCCAAGTTTGTGGTTGGGTTTTTCCTCTTGCCAACAAAAACCTGGATAATGGGAGCAAAGGGCTCCTTAATAAGAAGTTACCAAAATTAAAACACCCCGCAAGGACGCCGAGATCTGGGGGATTGGGGGATCTCACTGCTGTGCACCTGCAAGTCGCCGTTTTCAGAGCGCTTAGGTCTTCTTCGGTCCTCCTGCCCCAAAATCCCAACGACCTCAGGCCCGAGGTGCTGAAGGAACCAAGACCGTGGGCCACACTGAGCTCGACTGTTCCCTGATCTGCTCGTTTGGAGCTCTCCGACCATCAGCACTTCCGTCCCCATCCTCCAAATTTCCTTCTGGTATAATTTCAATGCGTGTGTATTATATGTATATAAATCCATACCTACGCAATTGGACGATTATATAAAAGCACACCCTCCCATTAATACCTCCCTACACTTTATAGCTTCTCTTAGATTTTTAAAAATCTGAAATACAATCATAAAGTAACTTTACGGTCTGGATTAGGTGGAACCAGCCAGCGCCTGAATTGCCACACGGCAACTGCTATTTCTGGGTTAAAATGATAGGGAAGGGGACGATAAGTTAAATAACCCGTTTGAGGACGTGAAGGTGCAGCTGGGCTTGGCCAAAGATGAATCAGGACAACGTCCACAAAGGGTGGCTCCTTTCTGCAGCTCCCTCGAGGACCCTATAAAAGGGCTCGGGTCCTGCGATCACTCCGCACGGCTTCACAGGAACCCCGCTTGATCCCGTCGGACAGTTGGGTAAGTCCTTCCTTTGGAAACACGCGCTTTGGTGGGCGAGGCTGTGTTATTTGGGTAGGATTCGTGTCAGGTGGCAGCGCCGTTCCCGCCACGGTGTTTTCTGAGATCCTTTTGTGGTGGTACCCAGCGAAGCGTTGTCTCGGTGTTATTCCTGTGGCGTGTGTCCACGGGCAGCTTTTCTCAAAAAGAAAAGGAGAGAAGGAGAGGGTTTGTGTTTTATTTTGCTCTGGAGCTGGCTCCTAGCCAGAATGGACAGATTGGAGAAATTTTCCCTTTCCTGTAGAAATACCAAAACCCAGGATTCTGTACACGGAGGCATGCACATACATACGTGCACGTTGTAGAGGCGGCAAGGCAGGCACGGCAGAGATTCCCTGGCTGCAAGCTCATCTCTCAGCATTGATGTACTTGATAACCGGCTCAGGGATCCCGCGAGGAGGAAGGCTGGAGGTGGTTTTGAGGTTTCCAGACCCAAAGCTCCAGGAGGATCTCAGAGCTTTCTGCCAAGCAGATCTCAGAGAAGCCAAATCAGGAGCTCTGACCTAGGCGATCTGACAGTTCCCTTCCGCCCAACAGCTCTTTGCTGATGAAATGATCCTGTAACGAAAGCTGTATCGATTGTTTTGGCGCTACTACCGGTCACAGGGCTTGTTTTAATTCCCTGTAAGAACTCAACCTGTCTCCAACCCAGCTAGACCTTGTCTCAGGCCTCGCCAGTGCTGCGTTAGACATCCTCTAACGTGCTTCAGAGCAGCCCGTGTGTCTCGGTGCCAGGCAGCCACACCAGCCGTGGAAACTTAAGTACCTGGTGTATCCTCGTGGGGACGCGTTCTTGGGGCATCTCTTGAGTCACCAGCTCCAGTTCCCTCCCTGCAGCCCATTAACGTGGGCATCCTGCCATCCCCTATCAAAGACATCAGCTGGAGGACACTCCCCATCCCACTAAAACCCCAAAGCGTTTGAATTTCTTGCTGGCGCTCCGGTGAAATAGAGCTCACCACGGCAGAGGAGCGGACACACGGCACCCGGCATCCCATTAGCCTGGCAATTCTCCCTCCTATTTTCATGCTCGGAGGCCAGCAAATCTCCCACCCTGAGGTCAGCTCGTTTTCTTGCAGGCTTGCTTGAATCTGCAGGACGATGTCTCGCTTCTTGGACAGCATTACCACCATCATCGGCCTCTTCCACAAATCCGCGAAGGCAGATGGAAACCACTCCAGCCTCAGCCGAAGGAAGATGAAAGAGCTCATCGAGAGGGAGTTTGCAGACGTCATAGCTGTGAGTGTTGCTGTGAGGGGGAGGGCTTGAGTGCAGGCTTGAGAGATGGAAAGAGAAAAGATCACTGTTGTCCCTGTCTTTGCATTTCTGTGACACGGAGCAGGTAGGCTAAAAATGCCTTTTTTTTTGTTCCCCTGTGCATGTTTTCCCTGCAGAAGCCGCATGACCCTCAGACGATTGACAAGATTCTGCACTTTCTGGAGTGGGATGGCGATGGGGAAATCGATTTTAACGAGTTCCTGCTTTTGGTGTTCAGAGTGGCGAAGGCCTGCTACTGGTACCTGCCGAAGGGACCACACCTGCTGCAGAGAACAAAGCTGACAACCACTGGCAAGCCACTCCAAGAGCTCGAGATTAAGAACAGAGGGAGCTGCCAGCAGCTCCAGGAAGAGGAACAAGACACCTGCGAGAGGAGTCGCCATCCTGCCTGCAAAACTGAGCTGCAACGAGACACCAGTGTCATCGAGCTTGAAGTACGAGAGGAAGCGAGGAGTCGTCACCAGGAACGTAACACGCCAAGCAGAAACGTGAAACGAAGCAGCGAGCCGGGGGAGCCGATCCCTCAGGTGTACGAAGAAGGAAGGCAAGAGCCGTGCGACCAACGGAACAGCAGGAGAAGACGTGACCCGCCGGAGCCAGACAGACGAGATGTTCAGTTCACCAAGAGAGGCTCCGTGCGAGCACAGGAGTCCAGGCTGCGAGCAGACGAGAGGCGATATGAAGAAGCAGACGTGAGGAGTTGCAGCCAGACCTACGAACCTCAACCACGGCCAAACCAGTGGAGTAACCAAGCACATGATCAAAAAACCCAGCAGCCACAAGAAGGAGATAGAGGAAGAAACAATAAGCCACGTAAACCTGAAATAGTCAGGGAAGAGAGAAGCCACTACCACCTACGTGAGGTGGAACAAAAAGAATCTGAATACAGCAGCCATGATCGATGTGAGCCTGAATGCCTGGAATCCAGACGCCCACATCAGTCATACATAGAGGAACCGCTACAGCTTGACCTCAGGTATGGTGAGGCCCAGGAGCCAGAAAGAAAGAGAAGGATCCAGCAGGCTCAGGAGCTGGATGGTCAAAATGATAGAAGGAGGGAAAAGCCTGTGCGGGAGAGAAAGATCGATCGCCTACGAGAACTCGACCTTGAGGTCTATGAGCAACGTGAGAGGGAAGAGCAAGATGCCACCACCATCCAGAGAGAGAGACGTGAGCGTGAAGGTGATGAAAGGAGACAGCGGGAGCTGGAGATGTACGAAAGGACACGCGAGACTGAAGTAGCTGCGGCAGAAGCTCAGGTGAAGATTCACCGCGTGTCCCGGGAAGCAGAGCCACCTGAGCAGGTGAAGAGCAGGGATTGTCGGCGTGAGTGTGAGGAACCAGAGGAGAGAAGGATCTGCCAGGAGAGAGAGAGAGAGAAGCCCGTGCGGGAGACAAGAGATCGCCAACGGGAGTTTGACCTCCAAGTCTATGAGGAACATGAGAGGGAAGAGCGAGATGCCACCACCATCCGGAGAGAGAGACGAGAGCGTGAAGGTGACGGAAGGAGACAACGGGAGCTGGAGATGTACGAAAGGACACGTGAGACTGAAGTAGCTGCAGCAGAAGCTGACGTGAGGATCCATCGTGTGTCCCGGGAAGTGGAGCCACGTGAGCAGGTGGAGAAGAGAGATCGTTGCTGTGAGCGTGAGGAAGAG